TGCCTATAAAACCCTAAGTCCATTTCTTCCCATCTCCTCTTTCTCTTCTAAAACCCTAGGGTTTCACTCTCCCTTTCTTCTCCAGTGCTTCAGCACCACATTCTTCATCAGCAATGGAGTTTTGGGGTGAGCAACTTATCTTCCATTTGGGAGAAACAAACGTGTCGCTTGTTTTTCATCTCTCTCTGCATGTGTTTCTTATTCATATTCTATTTCACATTATACAGCGATCATATTATACAGTGATATCTTTTGCGAATCTGGATGTTCTAGGGTTTTTTCGTTCTATCAGTGCTTTACCATTGCAGATTATCAATATTGAGTTGCTTTATACTTTTTGTGACATTCAGTAATATTGGAGGGTTTTTTTGTGTATTACCCTATTTGTGCTTGTTTTCAGTTTTATTTTTGTTAATGGTTGGTTCTACAAAGTACTCAAGAGTTATAAACTTATGTTCTCTGGTTCTATTTGTTGAAGTCATGATTATGCAACTTCTTTTGGGGCTTTGCATGCATGGTTTTGGGGTTTAAGGTTATAACACTTTCATTATTCTTAAACTCTAAGAAACAGGTTTTGTCACATTTCAGTCTGCTAATGTCTTTTCCGGTGCTGTAGAATGAAATGAAATGGAACCCTAAAGTAAGATAAGTTTCAGGAAAACCATATTAGTCACTTGTCATTCCTTTAAGCTTACAATATACATATTTTTTGTTAGAAAGTAATCAACCGAAATCGTTCTGTGCTAACATGTCAAGAGCACAAATTGCTTGTCATGGTACTGTGGTGTTAATGGCTCTTGTATAGTTGTCTTGATGATGATCATTGCAAAATCTGCAAAATTAATCTTTTGTCAAATGTTCATGCATCCTGTCTTGCGGTTGACTTTTGGTCGTTAGTCGCATTTTACAGAATAACCAACTAAAAGTTCTTATCCTTTCCAGGAAAGCAATGTCATTGGTTCTTGTGTTGCCGTTTCCATATTAGTTGATGCTATTTGCAATGGTTGTGGTTCACCTGTTCATCAATATTTTTGTTTGTCTTGGCAAATTATGGGGTTAACATGGGTACCTGGACCGTTATTCGGCATGATAAGTTTATTCGAATAGCTTCATCACATCAAACAAGGTTTATGTACATTATTAGTTGGTGCCTATATGAACACGTAAATACATAGGAATATGTGCGTGTATATGAATGTGCCAACACATTAACGAATGCATGAATGTGTCTGTGTTATGCTTCTGTGTGCTCCCATTGTGTGTCTGTGTGCACATGTTGTATCTCGATGATGCAGTAGTGATCAGGTAGATGTTGTTAAGAATTATCTGTTGTTTACTGTTACAAACTTGCAATGTTTTAGTTATGGGAAAGGTGGCACACAAACACCCTTGCAATGGCTAATATTAAACATGGGCACATCCAATGGCCAAAAGAGTTTTTTGTTTTTATTTAATCATGATATTTATCTGAAATTTGCGTTATAGATGACTTTTTATATGGTGAACCAAGAAAATAATAAAAATATTTTGAACAAGAAAAAATTGATCAAAGTACCCATAAATTGTTTCAGGGATATTTTAGTCTACTTTTGTTCAAAATATTTTTTTTCGTTTTATTTTAAATAAATATTATTTTTAAATAAAAATAAAATACAAAATTCTTTTTGGGACATCGGATGTTACTGAGTTTAATCTGAAATTGAAGAGTGCCTCGGCATCCTTCAAGCGTCCATATCATGTGGACACTATACCATCCCTTTGGTTATTAGTATGGGCAATTGTACCAGAGTGAAATTGCACCAGATGCTTCATGTGACTAGGAAAGCTGTTCCTCGTTGGTTTCATTTCACTTTTTAAAGTGCTATGTCAGCTGGACATGCATGTTTTTGCATGTATATTATTGCTGCCCACATTATTGATTCAAATTTCTTTGAAACCTAGTAGTACTAGGTTTAGTTTTTAATTGTTTGCAAATAATATAAATTTTGTAGATGCTGCTTACCTTTTCGATGGGATGTGTAAATTGTGAATCAGTAGTGCAATTTCTTTTCCATATTCACTTTAGTTGACTCACATGTTTCTGTTGCTTTGGTTAATTTCTTTATATGCCTCTCATTTGCAGGAGTTGAGGTTAAACCTGGTGAGACTGTGAAGTGTGACCCTGGTCTGGATAAATATATACATCTTTCACAGGTCATTTTTTTCCTCTTTTTTTTTTTTAATGATGCTTGGCTTTGGGTTGCTCATTTAGAATTCTCATTGCTTGCTCTGTGTTTTTGCACTAAAATCATATCATTAATCTGGTTCAGGCATCTCTTGGAGAGTCCAAAAAGGACAAGGGGGGTGACTATGTACCATTGTTCCTAAAATTTGGTGACCAGAAGATAGTGATTGGTTCACTCTCATCAGAAAAACTACCCCAACTTTCATTTGATCTGGTCTTTCAGAAAGAATTTGAACTATCCCACAACTGGAAACACGGGAGCATCTTTTTCTGTGGCTACAAGACTGTCATCCAAGAAGGAGAATATCCTTGAAGCAGTTTTATTTAATTTAATGTTAAAATTTTAAATAAAACTGTCTTCCTTTATTTGTGTGCTTGTTTGTGCTTATAAGTTATGTGTTCTGACATATTATTAAATGTCCATTATCCTTAACCAATGAGCTCCTTTGATTACATCATCGGATTTCTCAGGTGAAGTATTTATTTCTTTGTTATGCTGATTAAAGAAAAAGAAGTCTTAGTTTAATGATTTATTGAATTTTTTGTCATGAAACTTCACACCCGTGATGACTAGTATTTAGAATTAAAATTCCTAAAAATGAAAGTTCATTGATGTCACTTTTTGTTTTGTTCATATCCAGATTCAGAGGAAGATGATATTCCTACTTTGATCAAAGAGGAAAATGGTAAAAATTGAGTTTTGTTACTTAATGAGTTTCTGAATACTTCTGAATCACTTTACCCGTTTCCTTATTCCCTTTTTCTCAGGTAGGGTTGAGCAGCCCAAGCCTGCTGCTGAGAAAGCCAAGGCTCCCAAGCCTGAATCTGATGCTGCTAAACCAAAGGTAAAACCACAGGAAGCAAACAATGTGCCCAAACCAAAAGCGGAGGATGACGATGATGATGAAGACGACGAGGATGATGAATCGGAAGATGATGAAGATGACAGCGACAATGAGGATGAGGTTATTTTATACGATTATTATTATCTTAATGTTGCTTTTCCATTGGAAATTATCCGTTCTCTCAAGTGTTGAGTATTTGCTATGTGTATCTATCATATTATGTCTTGTGAGTGAGATTGAAATCCATACCCTTTCAGAGCTAATTATTTTTACATGTTATTTAAGTTGAATATTTTGCAACTGTTTAATTGAAATTAAACATTTGGATTGGATTTTAAGTTTTGGGAGTCTTGTTAACAGGATATGACAATATCTAAAAACAATTAAGTATTTTAGAGGGAATTTTGAATAATTTGTCAAAATATCGAGGGATCCTGATATTGTATTTTGTTGTATTTCTGCAACTTTTATCGGCAATCGGAAACTATGTGTGTGAGAGAAGTCTGTAAACTGGTTGATCACATCTGTTTTTAGACTGGTTGCTCTCATCTGTTTTTAAGTCTCTATGTTCTGGTCTTCTAGACCATATATATGTGGTGTCTTGGTGGGCGGTATTTCATATATGTTTGTTAGCTTCCCATCAATGCTTTTTCCGGCATATAAAAACTTTCTGTGGTCCCAAATTAATCTAGAGCTAGAATGTAGAACAGTAGAATGTCAGAACCATGGGGAAAATGGTATGAAGCTATCATGAGTGGATTTCAAATATTTCTTGCCTGCTTTGTTTTCCAATTTCCTTTGTATCGAGATTCCCTTTCTTCATGCTCCATATAACAGCATATAATAGGAGTTTCTTAATCCTTCAATTTCAGTTTTTGTCCTTGGATTCTTTTTGGTATTGCATAATTTTTCAGGCATTTCTGATTCTAATTTGCGTATTTTAAATTTTCAAGAGCAAGATAAAAAAAGCTTCTACCAATCCAGAAGTAAAATAGCGTTAGATGCCTAGGGAATGAATGAAATCAATCTTATAGTGATGGAACGAGGCATTGGAGTTAAGGAAGAGCGGTACAGTTGTTTGTGATAGCATTCTACTTCGAGTTTTCCCTCCATAATTTTTCTATGGATGTGCTTTCTTCCTAGAGTTTCTGATAGTAGTGTTAAATTGTGTTTAACTATAGATTCTTTGATGACACAGTATTTGGGTTCCTTTTGTTTAAATTCTGCATGCTCTTTTAGGGTTATTCTTGTTCTTGTTTGGCGTTTTGAATCTTTTTCTTGTTTTGTTCTCAATTTATGTTTTATTCTCTATTTATGTTTTATTGAAGGAAAAAGTATATATAGAGCCTAGGGTCTAGACAATCAAATCAGAGCCAACCTAAAAAATTTCACTAGAAGAGGTTGTTTTGATACTCAAATATTCTCAAATCGATCATCTTGATGTCAAGATACATGGACATTAAAGAAAAATGAATTTTCTAGTTTTGGAAATAGTGCATCTTGTAGTGCATTTTTGGACCATTAATTTTCAAGATTTCCAAGTTTTCATAGATCTGCTCGACCTACACTATTTTTGAAGCTTAAAATTTTATAATTAGAGATGAAAATATATTTTAAGGCTATCATAGAGATTTTCGGTATTGAAACCAAAGTTCTTGATACTATTTGAAGGTGGGTTCTGCTTTGATTGTTTAGAGCCTTGGCTTTATACAAATCGCACCCTTTATTAAAACAGGCTCCAGATTGATAATAGAGTGGGGAGATGGGTTGAATAAGTGTACAGGAGTTTGAGCTGATGCTTGTCCATTGTTTGTCGGGTTGGGTTATATTATTGTTCGGTTATATTTCTGGAAGGACATTATCTTTAGTTTGGTTTGGTTGCAAATTGAGTTTCTTGTGGTATTGAATATGTTGTGTTGGTGCTCAGGTTGCAGTTCTGGAATAAGACATGTATTGTACCTTGACTATGATTGAAGTGTATATTTTTGTTCTGTTATATTTTTGGAAGGACATTATCTTTAGTTTGGTTTGGTTGCAAATTGAGTTTCTTGTGGAATTGAATATGTTGTGTTGGTGCTCAGGTTGCAGTTCTGGAATAAGACATGTATTGTACCTTGACTATGATTGAAGTGCTTCCTTCTTATGACTTAGTGGGATTAGATAGAGTTATATTATAGTGAAGACGGTGGTTTAGGATGTGGATTGGTGATAAATGTGTTATCTTGTGAGCTATTTAGGAGAGCTTCTTTGGGATCTGTGTTACTATGGTTGTGAGGCTGCTCTAGGGAGGGTCAAAGGGTTTTTGGAGGTTTCTCCTTAAGGTAAATTAGGGTTGTAACTTTAAAGATACTTTTATAGGTAATCTGCTATTGTGGGCTTTGATTGAACTGATTGGAGATACTTGTTGCTCTATTACATGAGATTATTGAGATTTCTTGTTATTCAGCTTATCATTCATAAGTTGGATTGATTAGCTTCAAATACAATACATTATTTTTAGTGGAAATGTTTCCTTTTGTTGTTGCAATTACTCATATTTTGTGATGTTTCTTTTTAGAGGTCAGAACTCAAAGTAATTAGTTGAAGTAATGTTAACTACCCCAGATTAGTCGCAGTTCGAGAAAATGATCGTCCCATATGTTAGGATTGTTTGCCTTTAGAGCTTTTCTCGTAATTAACAACCAAACTCTATGATACATCTCTTAGAGCACGATTTTTGTGATTTGTGTTATGTGATTCAACTCTTTTGACAACCAGGTTTCTAATTTCTTACTGTTCTTGGATAAGATACTTGGAGTCCGGTGGTTAAGTTTAAGACAGCAAATAACCTTTCTTCTGAGTTTTCTCTTTGCCCTAGCTCCTGAAGAATAAGGTGCAGCACTCATGTCTGCATAATTGAGATAGGCTAGGGTTTTTAAAACTCACAAATGTCAGTTTGGGATCATCGTGAACATGTTGGAGGCCTTCCATCCTTACCTGCTCAGCAAAGCTTGAAATCACAATTAACCCGTGGCGTGACATTGCTCTATCCTAATATATCAGATATGCTAAAAATAAAATAAAAAAGATTCAGGTTATCTTCAAACAATTAGTCAAGAATCATTCATGGGAACTCCCTTGCATGTTCTCATGAGATTGGTAATCAAGCTGTACCTCCTTAGCGACTGCATCATGTTTAACAGCAAAATTTGATAAGATATGTATCTATTGATGTTGTGGTTATTTTCTCCCTTCAGTGGCTAACCATTGATTGCAGATGGGATGGCTTCTTCTATGGCTCCCATTGTTTGGTATATGATTCAGCTCACTGCCTATCCTTGCTTTGACTGAACCAGTTTTGTGTTGTATTTGAATCGTGCTGAGTTATTTTGGTAAGGGAAAAGCTTCTCTCCTGTAAACCAGGAGTCTCACTGATGGGTCTGGGTCTGGTCAAAAGTTATCCTAATTGCAGTGTTGTACCCAAGCAAGCAGCTATGTTTTCATGTCCTCTGTTGCATATTGCCGAGAGAATCTTGGGAATATTCAGGAAATTTTGTTTAAAGAGTGTTTTCTTCCTAATTCCTCCAAATTTCATATTTGTCTACTTAGTCCTAGTTTGTTGAATTGCGTATTCTTAAGAACCTATACTTCAATTTTGACCAGGATTAGTTATGTAAACCATTGATGGCAACAGTTGATATTGAATGTGGAATGTTTATTGTTCCTGCTTGAGCTGTTGTTATATCAAAATCCAAGAGCAATGGGTAGATTTCTCATTGTTATGTATTTGAGTTACATGTAGAATCCCTAGGCACCTGGGTGCATTCATGATTACTGACTAGTTGCCTCAACTCCTCGCATTTTCTAGGTACTCAGTCTGGAGTTATATCGAAGCTCACGTTCTTGGGTCTGTTTTCATTCTTTTCCAGGATATGCTTGAAGCTAGTGATGATGAAAGTGATGATGAAGATGATGAGGATGAAAGTTCAGATGAAGAGCAACCTGTCACTCCCAAGAAGGTACCTTTGTATTTCTCTTGCTATGAACCTACAGTAGGATGTCTACACATTTGAGATGCTCCATTCTTATACTTATGCTACATATTGTGTAGGCTGATGCGGGCAAGAAAAGGGCTTCGGATTCTGCTGCAAAAACTCCAGGGCCTGAAAAGAAGGCCAAGGTGGTTACACCTGCTGGTGGAGCAAAGCCAGGTTTGAAAGAATTCCAGGCTATATGTCAAAAATGTCTCTTGAAATTTGGTTCCATCCTCCGAGCTCTGAAATGGGTTAAATTTCTCGAACTCATTATGGTTTGTTTGATATTTTCGGCATGGTGGTAAACCACCCTACTAATTCTTTTCCCCAACATTTTTTGTTTTTGGAAGAAAAAGACATATTTTTCCTTTTATTTCTTTCAGGCTGCTAAACTATACCTACTTGATCTTCCATAATGATAGAAATGATGCAAGGATCAGTTCATCATATCTCCTTGAATGTGTCAATTGTTTTATGAACCAACCCTGGATGTAAACAGTGTGGTAGCAATGATTGTTTGCAAACTGTTCGAGTCAAATTGAAAGATAGCTGTTCTCTCCCTCATTGGGATATCAGTTATCACTCTCTATTTGTTTATCTATCTTTCTATCTCTATTTCTATATCTATTTGGGATTGATAGTAAGAGAGGATCACTTGTTGAGGTGGTGCAGAAGGCAAGAAGGGAGGACACGTGGCTACTCCGTACCCTACAAAGCAAAGTGGGAAGACTCCTGCTGCGAACGACAAGCAGCAGACCCCGAGAAAACCAGCCACCCCTGCTACTGATGCCAAGAAGAGTGAAGTTTCTTGCAAGAGTTGTAACAAGTATGTCGCCCTTTTGTATTTGTTCCTTGATTGATTATTGTTTCTTTGACCGATTTTTGTTTATGTTTGGCTTAGTCAATAAGCTCAAGTATTTCAATTGTTATGGTTGTTGCTGGAGAGTTGCAGCTAATGTTTGCCCTTAATAATCTATCATTGGTTGTTTATTTTATCTTGTTATATTTTTTTAGGGGTTATATTTGGAGAATATTGATTGATTATTGTTACTTCTTTTTTACTATATCCTGAGAATTTAATAAAGCTGAAACTAGTGCTTGAATTTTTTATTTTCAACAGGACTTTCAAATCTGATCAGGCCCTTAACAGCCACAACCAAGCCAAGCACAGTGCATCCAAGTAAGGATCAGGAAGAGAAGTTTTTTTGGTTTCAAAATTTTGAAAGGAATATGGGTAATATATGGAAATGAATACTTGGTATATATGTGCATCTTTTAGATCTAGAGTTTGCCCTTAATGAATAGATGCAAAAGGGTTTTTGGTACTTCAATCCTGAAAGGCCTTGAGATTGGTGGAAGGGCTTGTTTTAAACAATATTTGGGGTTTAGGATAGTATTATTTGTTAGGGAAAAGCTGGGTATTTAGATGTGGAGTTTAACTCTGGTTTCTTGGATTGCGGTTTCTATATTAATGATGAGGAGATTTTTTTTTGCCTAGGTTTCTTGGATTGAGGTTTCTATATTAATGATGAGGGAAGTTAAATCTACCTTAGGACCTGTTTGGATGACAATTTTATCTGGATTACTTAGTCTATTGTAAAATTCTTAGTTCTTTCATACCTGTTTTCATTCCTTGCGTTGATTCTAGTTTGGGCTCCATGCTATCTAAGAGGAACATCATAACATCATATAGTGGAGCACGGTTTTCAAGATTGGACCAGATCACTTGGTCCGATTAGTCGGTGGGCCTTGGTAAGTCTAGTCTAAAAACAAAAACATGTTTAGATAAAAATTTGGTTCCATTGGTTCAACAAGTTCTGAAATTATTTTGGCCATTAAATTTGTTCGTTGTGAACTTTGCATTTGAAACCTTTACTTGACAAAATCCTAAACCAAATCTTGGATACTTGTTAGGAAGTTTTAAAACATGATGTTAGTAAAAATAACTAGCGACAAGCAAGAAAATTAAGTAAAAAAAATGATAAAAAAAGAATACCAAGATTTTGTGTGGTGTCACAGATGTTACATCTATGGGTGAAGAAGAATGATAATTTTTCACTATAAAATTACAAGATGGAACTTATCTGAGAATCGAGACACATGCAACATCTCATGAAGCTTTTCTTTCACACTAATAGAGAAAAAGAAAACCTAAAATACCTTACGTGAGTCTTCCAATTCTCAACTTCTAGGATTCCGAACTCCTCTCTCTGTGGGGCTCGCCTATCATCATAATCAAACTAGGATTGTGCACTAAAGTCAAACTCTTAGTTAATAGAAACTTGGTTGGGAGAATCTATGAATCAACTATTAGATAATAGGGAGTTAGTTGGTTAAGAGAATCTGTAAATATTGGAAACACTAAAAAATAGGAGAACATAGAATGATGGAAATGTTCTCTTAATTATTGGGATTCAAGATAAATTTAACAAGAATGACCAACTTAACTTTCATGGCTGGAGAATTTGTACTTTGTAAGAAACTTTATGAGGTGGTTGAACCTTGAGTCTTGGTTAGGAAATATTACTCCATGCAAATAATTTTTTTTTAGAAATTATCACTTCAACCAAATAATTAACAACTTAGATCTTGACGAGTTTACAACACGAGATAGTGATATGAGTTTGAACTAATTCAGTGGCTTTTTGCATAAATTTTCATGTAAGCAGGGTTTAAAAATTGCCATAAACATGCCATGGAATGGTTTTGGCTCATGTACATTATAATATCAAAGTTAGCAATCCATCGAAATTGAGCCTTTTTCCCTCTAATCTACCAAGGAGTTGAAGCACTTCGGTTTTCCAATCAAAACAAAGAGCCCTTTGAACCAAACGGAATTCAATCAAAACAAAGAGCCCTTTGAACCAAGTGGAGTAATGTCAGTATAAATAGGGTTTTAAAAAACATCGATCCTAATTGGGATCACCCGATTTGGATTAACAATAATTGAGATGGGCAGGTCTCCATGGGAATCGGCCGATTCTATTAGGGAAGCATGGAACTTTGAGAATAAATTCTAAATTACCATTTCTTCATGGAAAATTTATTTTATTTTGTTGAATGTCTCTGTGTTCCTACGCGAAACTTGCAAAAGTTAAAGACTCTTATCTCCTTATATGCAGTTGAGAATGTTTTTATTGGTTTTTATAGGCATTAATATTGTTATTAGTCTCCTCTCACCTAAGATCAGGTGAGCGTAGCAAACTAAAACTTGTTATTTTTGTTAGATGCATTAAGAAAGAGTTGTGTTGCTTCGATACGAATTTGTGTGTACTTCAGTGTTTAGTAGTTCAGCCGAGATATTGTTTTAATTCTGGAATTTTTTGTGATGGCTTGAACAATTTGTTATCTCTAATTATAAATGTAAAGCTTTAAAAACAATGTAGACCGAGCAGATCTGTGAATATTTGGAAATCTTGAAAATTGATGGTCTAAAAAATGCATTACAAGATGTACTATTTTCAAGACTTGAAATCTATTTTTTCTCATGTCCATACATCTTGAGGTCAATATGAACGATTGAAGGATTTCTTTACATCGAAACATCTTCTAGTGAACTTTTGACATACTCCTTAATTTGATTGTTTAGGGCTAGACCTTATGTAAAGCTTTTCCAAAACTAAATAGCTCATGTTTGGTTCATTTTAGTATGGTACAAAAAAAAAAGTAGACCCACATGATCTCAATTCCTTAGTTCATACTCCGCGAATGTGCACTGAACATTTGTTTTTAATATCCCAGTCACCTTAGTTCAAACCCTACCACTGTGCTCTATACATTTCATTTTTAATATCCCAGTGTTTGGAAGTGATGCTATGGTCAATATTGATCATCGATTGTGGCAAAACCAATGACTCGGGTTAAGACTCGGTCTGTCATTGAACCCAATAGGATACTAGGTCATCTTCCTGACTAACCCTAAAAACCTGGGAGGGTATGTCTCAAGTATTTAAAAATTAAAGACCCAGTTTTTGTAGGGCTGCAACCATATGCAACAGGCATTTATTTGAATGGTGCAGATTTTGCACTAAACTCAAAATGAGAAACCGGGCTTCCCATACCCCGATGCCTCTTCCTTTTATAAAGTCCCCCTCCCCCCTGCAAAACCTTACTGTAAATCTCTCAAGGCCCAACAGCAACAAAATTTTTGAAAAAGAAATGCTGTTTTTTATTTTGTTCTTTTGGGGATTCGCATTAATGGGTGTGTAATCAAGAAGATCTGATTATAACAAAGTAACTAGACTTTTGTCAACATCAGTTCTCATCACTTACCCACAAAAAACATTAGTTCTCATGCCACAAATTTCTTTGTTCGGTAGTGCATCACGGCTCTCGGAGGGCATTGATTCATATCATAATTTTATGAAATTGGTCCCCAAGTTGTTGTATTTGGGGTTTTAATGGGTTATGCACTACAAAACAGGCTATTACAGATGCTTGGGGGTTCTTCTTTGGACTTCAACGATAAACTATGAAGCTTTGCTCTTCATAATTTGAGAGAGAGTTTGTGCTAAATGGAAGTAGCTATTTTACTAGAAAAATTGAACTTGCCAAAAGAATCCAATCCGCCATGGCTGCAAGACAGTAGATTTTCAGCAAGAAATCATGGCAGTGAAGTGTTGAACATCGTGATTTCTATACAGAAAATATTTCAACTTTCAAAACATTCCACCTTTTAGCATAAAGAAAAATGCCCAAGCCTTGTCACCCCTTGAATAAGTAGCAACGAAATCGATATTATAAGGAAGTTATTGGGGTGATTCGATGAAATTGCAGAGGATTGGCCAGCAGCTCCTATAAAAGCAATGATCATGGCTTTCTAATGTTACTTTTCATATAAGAAAGTTACGACACATGCCCCCATCCCAGGGCTCAGGACCACAAGAAGTTTTTTTTTTATAGCAATTCATTGGGAAAGGCAAATCCCTATCCGCTTTTTCAAGTAGAATAGGAGTTAGAAAGTATTAGTGGAATAATGTTAATAGTGGGAATAAAAACCACAACATAGTAAATAGGATGGGGGAGTTACCACCACAATCCTAACCCCTTTCCCACAAAAGTTGCCCCATTCCGCTTTAGGACAAAAGATGTAGTGCTATTAAACATTGACCCTCCCAACTATAGTAGACAACAATCCAGAAGATACAAAGATGGGAGATATATAGTATTCCTCAGTCATACATAGTGTTACTTACCAAGTTAAAAATAGGCCATATCAGCTCTTTGAATAGTGGAGATCATATTAGATCTTTCCTTGTGTTTTAAAAGAAATGATTATGGTTTTCTAAAGTTATTTTGCATATAAAAAAGTTAAGACACATGCCACCATCCCCCAAGGCTCATGGCCACAAATAGTTTTCTTTTCTGATAATTTAGTGAGAAAGACAAGCTCCTAACTATTTTTTAAGTAAACTAGAAGTTAGGTTTTTTAAGGTATTAATAGAGTAGTGTTAGTGATAGGAATAAAAACCACAACGTGGTAACTAGGATCAGGGGGAGCTAACACCACCATCCCAGCCCCATTCCCACAAAAGTTGCCCCATTCGACTCTAGGGCATAAGATGTGATACCATTAAACATTGGCCCTCCAACTATAGCAGACAAGAAAACAGTCTAGAAGATACTGAAGAGGGAAGATATATAGTATTCTCAGCCATACATAGTGTTACTTACCAAGTTAAAAATAGGCCACAACATCTCTTTGAATAGTGGAGGTCTTTCCTTATGTTTTAAAAGCAATGATCATGGCATTCTAAAGTTTCTTTTCATATAAAACAAGTTAAGACACATGCCCCCATCCCCTAGGGCTTTTTATGGCCACAAGAAGTATATATATATATATATATATATTAATTCAGAGAGGAAGAAAATCCTTACCTGTTTTTTTCAAGTAGATTGGGCATTAACTTTTATAAAACATTAATGGAGTAGTGTTAGTTGTTGGGAATGAGAACCTCAGTAGGGTGTGGGGGTACTACCACCACAATCCCAGCCCCTTTCCACAGAAGTTGCCCCATGCCCCTTGAGGGCATAAGATGTGGTGCTGTTAAACATTGGCCCTTGGCCCTCCAACTATAGCAGCCAACAATCTAGAAGATACTGAAGAGGGGAGATATATAGTAGCTCAGCCATACATAGTGTTACCAAGTTAAAAAAATATGCCACTGTGGTTCTTAAATATGATGGTTTCATTGCATGGCTTTTTGGGCTCATTTTGAGAGGATGAGACCTCTTATTGCCCCATGATACATTTGTTTTTAGGGCACAAGTGTGCCTGTATTTGGTCTATTTATTGATAATAATTCAAAAAATTTAATTCGTTGTTTATATAAAAGGTGAGGTTTGTATGAGGTGCCCACTTTATACTATAGAAGTAAGGCATATCTCTAAATTTCGCAGCAAGATGTAGTTCCAATGTTTAAAATTTTACAATGGTTTAAAACTTTTATTTTCACCCACTACTTATAAATACCTGAAAATCTTAAAAATAGACGATCTAGTTAATTTGTTATAAGATGCACCATTTTTAGAATTGAAAATCTTTA